GGAGCCTCAGTCTAGCTGTGTGTCTGGAGAAGCCAACCTCGCACCCTGCTGCCTCCCTGGGAACCTAGGATAGAAGAAGACCAAATGCCTGCCCATTTTCCCACACTTCAGACAGGCACCCAAGGTGGAAAGCACCTGGAAATTCACAACTGGTTTGTCCAGAGGAATCCAGGAAAATGTTAAGACAAAGGACCAAAAGGCAATCTCAATAACAAGTCTAGGAGATACATAAATAAAATAAATTTGAAGTCACACACCTGAAGTTTCTGAAAGGATAGCAACTGCAGTAAAGAAACAACCTCATGAGACTGTAAAAGTAATCATATCATAAATAATAGCTCAAGTAAAAGAACAAATGACATAGTGAAGGAAAAGCTGAGCATATCTAAAGAAGACATAGATTTTTTTAAAAAGCATTGGAAATGATTGAAACTTTGAATAAACAACACAAGAGAGAACTATAATATATGAATCAAATTCAAAGAGATAACCAGAAAATGAAAATTTCCATTGAAAGCTGACAGAACCACTTGAAAGAAATTGAAAATACACTTTCAGACCTTGAAGACAGGATTGTAGCTAGCAATCACAAAAGGAAAGATCTCTTAAAAATAACAAGGAACAAGGGAATAAGAATTCAATTGCTGCAAGACACAAAGAAAAATAATTTAAGACTGACAAAATGAGCAAAAAAGCAGAGATCAACACAAATGACATAAAAGATTATTTAGTAATAGCAGAAAACTTGGAGAAAGAACCTAAAATATAGATAAGTGATGTATATAGAACTCCAAGTAACCATAACCAACATAAATCTACACCCACACATATAATAAAGATCCCAGAAAATCAGCACAAGAATAGACCACTAAAGGCTGTTTGAGAAAATAAACAGATCACCTATAAATGAAAACCAATCAGAATCATAGCAGAATTCTCAATACAAACCATCAAGCCAAGGAGAGTTTGGAGGGAAGTGTTTCAAGCCCTGAAAGAAAACACCTTCCAACCTAAATTGATGTATCCTGAAAAACTACCTTTCAAAATTAAGAAATAAGAAACTTTTACAATAAAGAACAACGGAAGGAAGTTATGGCCACCAAACCAACCCTACAAAGAGTGCTAAAGCATACTTTAGGCAGAAATAAAGATGACCATGGTTCCAGAACAGTAGCAGAGGAGGATCACTGAGCAGGGCAAGCAACTGAATGGAGGGGAAAAGTGGGGAACCAATGGCAGAAGGATGGCATGGTGGAGATGAACCTAGGCATGCCAATTATTACCATTAATGTAGATGGCCTCAACTCACCAATAAATACAAACACAGGCAGAGTGGGTCAGGAGAAAGAATCCATCCATATTCTGTATAAAGGAAACATATTGCCTCAGAAGAAAGTTCATGGGCTGAAGGTTGGAAGAGACAGGACAGTGCTCCATGTGATGAGAACCCAGAAAAAAGCAGGGGTAGCTTGCTCATCAACCATGGGATGGATAGGAAATATATATTTTTTTATCCAATGGAAAGTTATGCAGCCATAGGAAGGATAAGTGCAAGACTCTTGTTGGTATGTGGATGCAACTTAAGATCATGCTTATGAGTGAAATGGTTTGGACTCACATGGGTGAACATTTTGTTGTCTCCTTATACAAAAAACTGAAGTAGTGTGATCCAAAATGTACACTAGATAATGTGAAGATGAAAGTATAGGTAATGTATTTCCTATTATCTTGTTTTGAAATCCTGTCATTTTCATTGTTTTGTTTTATTGGTTTTTTTTCCTGTTCTGTTTTGTTTGATTTCAATATGTCTTATGGGATAGACAGCTATTTTGAATATAACAAAAAGGCATTATGTGGCCTTTTATTGCTGATTTCCCATAATCTTTTTTGAAGTTCTGTATCATTCTCATTGCTTTGTTTTGATTATCTTTATTATTTTATTTTGTTTGCTTTTATTTTCTTTAAAATAAAAATTTTAGAAAAGAAATAGAAATAAATATTTGATATACACAACATATTGGTTTTCCATTGATGTCATAATAATGTACCACAAGTTTAGCAGTTTTTAACAAGACAAATGTATTTTTCATACCAACAGATTTTATTTTGGTACCAGGAATTGAACTCAGGACCTTGATTTTTCCAGGAAGCAAGTGTATTTTTGCATTGTTACCTTTTTCACACACTTCCTTTATCTTTTTTGTTATCTATTCCTCTTCTCCCCCAACAGAAAGTTAGCAATGCCCAGGGACATATTTGTATTTTTGCTTGAGTTTTTGCACTTCTGTATCCGCAGAGCAACATCTGACATTTAACTGCTCCTCAGGAATACACCCAAATATGGTTCTTTTATCAACAATACTTTTTCAGGAATGCTTGATGCAAGTGAAAACTTAGACATATTTTCAGTATGAAACACGAAGTAACCAATATTTTTGATACATTGTTTTTGCAGACCAGAAGAGTAATAGTAAGAGATTTAGATTGAGAAACTGAAATAACTAGAGAATTCTCAAATCCCAGTGAAAACAAATTGAATTAAAGTGTCCTTAATACTGATGCCCAGAGCAGCTAGAAAGGTTTTTCCAGGACAATGCTTATTTGACTCTCTCCCAATCACCATGCAGTTGTCGATCCCTCAAAATCTCGTACAGTTCCTTTGCCTAATTCATTTGCTGCAACAGAAGGCACAAGTTGGATGACGGTCTACAAATGACAAAACTTCCAAACAAAGAAGAAAAAGCTAAAAACTACTTATCAGTAGTTATTGACTGATAAGTGTCATGTCATCATGGCAATATGGTCTTATATAAAAATTGAAATATGCAAAGCTCTAGAATATTTCAGTCTTGATGGACTAATCAAGTGAATCATGTTTGGGCAGCTAGTAAAATGTATCATCATGGGAGCAATTACATCCACCTCTTATAAGGCCTCAAAGTGTACAGCAGCACACTAGTTGTATTATTCTCTTTCCCTTGGTGGGGGGAAATATATAACATGTGAAACTTAAAGGAGACGTTTGTTAGGTTCATGGTGCCAGAAGGTTCAGTTCCTGAGTGGCTGACTTCAAAGCAAAAATGACACAGCAGAACAAAATAGAAAAGCTTCTCAATTCATGGCGTCCAGCAAGCAGAAAGAGAAGCAAAGCAAAAATACACTCTCTCAGGTCAGTCCCCCGGTGGTCTATCTGTTCTGACCAGGCCCCACTTTCTAACAGCACATCCAGTCATGGATTCATCAATGAGTCATTTTATGGATTAGTATAACATCTTCATGATCCAGTCACCTTCTAAAAGTCCCACGCCTGAACACAAAAAACTCTGAGGGGAAATTTTAGATTTAAATTGTGATGCTATCAACAATAGCAGAACTGGGCAGATCAAAACCTTGATCCATCTAAAAAGGTACAAGGACAACACCTAAAAGTATTATGCATGTCATTACAGCTTCTCTACTCAAGTTTAGCCTTACTAGGCAGGACTCTAAGAATAAGCCTCAGGGTGTTACTGACCACCACAACCTCAGAACCTAAAAGGTATTTGGTAACTGATTATTTACAGAACCAAGCACCCATACTGCTCGGACATAGTAAGCTTAAACTAAAGCAGTAAAGAAATTTAGCTTGTTAGAACTTTACTTCCATTTGAAGAGCGTATTCTCTTCCTATCTATGCAGCACAGAAACAGCCCACTATTCACATGAAAATATTCTACAAGTAGCCCAAGAGAAAAAGAAATCAGAGTTTAAGGCTGTTTTTGCACAGAAGTGTGATCCTTAGTCGAGGGTCCTAGAAAGCAACTTTCAGTCTATCTCTGTTGTACATTAGGTTTTTCATGTCTGTTCCAACTATTGAATAGATTTCATGAAAGTACATTCCCATCATCAACTGTAAGTACAATGCACTGGATAGAGTCTCTTCCTATTCTGCCTGCCACGTCTTGCTGAGTTTTTCTTGTTGAGAGAATATTCTCTTTTACCTTTTATGACTCCTATCTAATGATGTAGATTTAGTAATGACACTTCAACTATGATGGTAATCTTTTCTCAAGTATCATAAGTAGAAATACTCAACTAGGAAAATCAGATAAAGAGGATATATTTGCCCAAACTCAAGCATACATCTGCATTCTGCAGTCCTGGTCCACTGTATCAGATGAAGTTCATAAAAATCAAATATTAGCCTCCTTTAATGATATAGTTTATTGTTGATAATAAAAATCAAGACATACACTGAGCACTGTTGCAAATTTTTTAGCAAATGATCTGTATCTGCCATTCTGTAGACAGAGCTAAAGTCAGACATTATGCCTGTTCCAGTGAATTCGTCTAAATCATCATAACAAGCACAGTTACTGTGTGAAAAGACATTAATGGTCACCATTTTTCATTTCCATCAGGGGGTAAAAACTATTCCATGTTTATTTCTAATAGATGAAAATTGAACTAAAACTGGGAAGTAGTAATATTACTGGTAATGCTAATTGTAAAGATGACAAATAATTATTCTAAAATAATTAAATGTGAGCTATTTAAAAAGTCTTCTTCAGTTTTTCATAGAACAGAAAAGTGTCATAAATCACAGAGCTTTTAATAAATTCAAGTAAACATTCAAGGTAACACTTGAGCTGGTTTGCCAGACTTTATCAAAAATTCAGTTCAACCCCAACCTGTGCTACTTAGTGACATAGCAAGATCCTCTCGCAAAATATATAAAAAGGGCTAGAGATGGAGCTCAGTACTAAGATTCTGGGTTCAATCCTCACTACCACCACCACCACCACTAAAAAAAAAAAAAAAAAAAAAAAAAATCCAGTCTAATCTTCCTAGAAATCCCTTTGGAAAAAAATTATGATTTTTTTGTTTCTACTTCAATATGAGGGTTTTATTTTTCTTCCACCTGTTAAAGAAAAAGGTAGAAAAGAAATAAATCACTGAATGGAGCTTATCAAGTGAAATGAGACTGATCCGCCACCATCTCAGGTCTTTAGGATTTCTGGGGTCAGTAGAGAAAACTGACTAGGTCCTGTAATACTTATGGAAGACCAATCTTGTGCATCCGGGAGATCCACACTTCCACTGGGAAGCACTCAGGAAGCCAAGCCACCAAAAAAACGCTGCCTCCTGGCTCCGCGGTGGGATTATCCGGAAGGAACTCCCAATGCGGGTACTACCACTCTCCTCTCTGCACCTCCTGCATCAGCCGGCCTGAAGTCACACCCTCCTCCTCCTGAAAAGTAATGAAATACAAAGGGTTTTCTACCTTAAATCAGAATTCAGCCACAAATTCAGTGGAACTTAGGACTCTGGGAAGCCAAGCAAGCACCTCACCTCCCTAGTAAGCGGCAGCAGTGTGGTCCACTGCAGCCCTTCCAGGGGGAGAACTAGCAGTGTCTCCTGAGATCCATGCCATGTTGGAACTGAGGAAGCTGTGAAAACAAATGACCATCCTGCCTCCCTGCTTAGCAATAGTGAACCTACTGCTACATGGCCTAGAGTCAAATATCCCACTTCCTCTATCCCCCCCCCCCCCGCCCATTAGCAAATGGGAACCAGAAATCTGAGCATCTCCTGGCAGGTTGACCATAGCAAATAAGGGGGAAATCCTTCTACCATTTCTTTGAAGGCAACTATTTTTATTACTGTTTTGCTCTTTTCTAATTACTGGTACTGCTCTATTCAATATTCTGTTTTCATAAGTTCTATAGTGTTCTATATTTCATCTCATTTTGATATATGTGACTAAAAGAACAACTATTATAAAGACAACAAAATATACTGTGATACCTATTATTGTTATCCCAGTAACCTGCTGTGAAGTGCTGTACCAATTTCACTGTACGATGTTAGTTGGCTTTATTCTGACTTGTTCTGTTGTATACTTTCAAAATAAAATTTTTTTAAAAAGGGAAATGAGACTTATATTACAGATTCCCATTTCAGTAAGTACACCACTCATCGATCATATAAACCTACTATTCTCACCAGCTTTCAAGATTAACTTTGTCTCACTATGAAAATATAATAATGCTCTATCTTTTATAAAGTATATATATATATATATATATATATATATATATACTTGGTGTCATAAATAACTCTCTTGATATGATATACTATGCCTGCTTCTACAATGAGGACCTGGGAAATGGTTTAGTATCCAATGACCTAAATGCAAGAATTTCCTTTATTTTGGAAGGCCTATATCATTTGTTTAATTATAGGCCCTGCAACTGTATAGTTGTCTAGAAAAATTAAAATCTCCATGAAGATCCATATATCATATGCAGCAGTTAAACAAGAAGATGGCCAGTCAGAATATATAAAAATCAAAAGCCCTGGAATATGTGGTAAAATAAATCAAATTCAGTTAGGAGACTGAAAGAATTGACTTTGGCTTTGCTATCCAAATTCTCTACATATTTACCTGACTTTGAGACAAAGTCCAAATAATTGATGCAGTTCAAATAGTTTGAGCTGCAATGCTACACCATTAAAACAGAAAAATCTGTATAACTGGGCAAGTAATTCTACATGTTAGACAAAAGTGAAACTTTTAATGAAAAAAAATGGAGTTTTCTTTTATAAATGGCAAGTATCTCATGCTTTTATTTTTTGTACAGACATATCTCTATACTAGCTAGTTCAGTCAGATGAACATGAGTTTGTTACTTGGGCTCTGTATCTATTCCATTTGATCAGCTTCTAACCATCTTGAATTCTATTTTTCTTTTTTTGTAGTATTAAATATTTTCATTTTTCACTATAAAAACTGAAAAATAATAAATCTGACTGGAAATGTTTCAGCTCTGAGGACTAATTTTCTTAGCCATCAGTCAGTAAAACAAATATTGAGGTACATTTGAATTTAATTTCTTATATGAGGAATGAGACAGACCCAGAAGTATGGGACCAAAAAGTCACTAGCAAGCTAGACTAACAGCAAAAAGAAACAAACCACAAAGTGATTAAGCAATTCAGCCCTAAGGCCAAATACGGGAGTCTATCCCAACTCTGTCACCTAGATCATGATGCCTTGGATGTGTCTCTAGCTGTAAAACTGTCATGAACATAATATTTATCTCTAAAGACTGTTCTATGGATTTAAAAATTGAAAAAAATACCTAATCGGGGAAGGTATATCATGCATACTTTGAGAATTAATTTAAAAACTGTAGATAATTGTTTAATGTGTAGTGCCTCACAATCTAAGAATTCTGAACTTTAGTATAGTCTCTACTACTAATTCCTTGCATGAGCTTGAACTACTTACAAACTTTCTGAGCATTAATTTCTCCTATTGAAAAATAGGGGTTTTAAACCTGAACCTGGTGGCACAAGCTTGTATTTGCAGTACTCTGGGAAACTGAGGCAGGAAAAACACAACTTTGAGACCAGTTGGGACAACTTAGCAATTTAACAAGTCTTTGAGAAATGTTTTAAAAATTTAAAAAGGCTGGGAATGTAGCTCAAAAATTCCTATCCCATTTTGTCCCTATCGCTTTAGATAGTACAACATTATTTTCTTAGTGAAACTTACAGTGACTTCAGCCCTTCTGATACCACTTTTTGGTAGATACTTTAGAATATGATGGGAAAACAAAACAATCATTATGAAGAGGTACTGAGGTAGAAGGGAATGAGGTAGAGTACAGAAACAAGAAAATGTTCTGGTCTGTTTGAATTTATTTCATTCATGAAACAGGAGTTGAGACTTTATACAAAAAAATGAGGTGTATGAGTATAGCAAGTATAAAGAAAGGAAAAATATTCCCTAAAATCACAGACAGCCTAACTAGTTTTTGAAAAGCAGGATGATAACATGAAATCAGTGATTAGAAAAATTAATCTGACAAAGCTATGCAGAATACATTAGAGGAGTGAAGATAACACACTCAATTATAGTTTCAAAAACTGACAGTTGATATCATTGAGGAAAAAAGCCCAATGGCTACCACAGAATAAGACTCTTTAGTCTATGATTAAAACTCAAATTTTAATCATCTTCCTATTTTTCTTATAATGTATTCTTAAATAAGGCATTCATCAAATCATCTGACATAATTAATAAATTGCACAAACACAGTGTGCAAGTGTGTGTGGATATGTTTGTATGCATTTAGAGCAAATACCAAATGATAGAGACAAATAATGTATTCCACTCTATTATTTTGTCTATATGTCTCTTCTTAAAGACAAACACACAGTAGCACCTCAAGTTCACAAACTTAATTTGCTCCATGATTCTGGGGAAGATGGCTGTATTTGTGTTTGTGAGGAGAATATGATCATAGACCTGTTGGTTACTTCTGAATGCTTCTGTTCATGAACTGAATTTTATGAATTGAAGTATTACTTATTTTGAGCTAAATAAAATCTGAAAGATTACTTGGACCTAAAGCGTCTGAATTCTCTCATATTCAAGCCATGTGAAGTGAAGTAATGTTGAAACACTTGTTTGTCACGTCACATTGGAAAAAAGAAGGCAAATATTAGAGGTCAAATGTGTGAGCCTACACATTTCCCTATTTCTCACTTCACAAAGTGAGATTCAACAGCTCCTTAGAAGACGTAGACATATCTTAGCAATTGAAGCAGAAGAATCATTTACTCTTGGACATTCAGAAGGAAAATTTGTTGAGGAGTTTCAACAATGTGGGCATTTGCAAGTCTAGAATTCAAAATATAAGAATGAAGTGAAACTGTATTTGTAAAAGATATGATTCACTGAAGTATTTGTCAAAATCTGATGAAATCTACAAAAAGAGAAAAACCTATAGAATTTGCTATTTAATTTAAAAAATTTTCATGATACAATATCAAAATATAAAATTAAATTATATTAACTAGCCAGAAAATATCTGAAAAATCATTCAATATAATTAGCCATCATGAAGATATCAACTGAAGTTACAGTATGATATGACATCATCTCATCCCAGTTAGAGTGGCTATAATAAAAAGACAAAAAATAGCACATGCTGGTGAGGATATAGTGAGAAAGGAAATCTTCCACACTCCTGTCAGAAAGGTAAATCAATACAGCGATTAGAAAGTACAGTATGGAGGTTGCACATACACCAAAAATAAAAACCCTGAAAATAAATCTCTATATAATTCAACTCTCTCAATAGCTGGGGAGAACTCCTGCCACAGAAAAGTAATCCATCCCGCAAATGCAGGACAACATTCAGATAATCCCTTGTTAACTCCCTCATTTTTCTCTTCTTCCCTCTCCTCTATTTTCCCAAAATTTGGATGATCACCCTTGGTCTTCCAGCTTTGAATCTACTTTTTTTCAGTTATCTTTGTGTTATTCTTTATCATTCATAAATCTGCCCACCATAGGGTAAAGCCACTCTACCAAAGGGAAACAATTTGAATACAAGCTCACAATTTACAATTAGTTCTGTTATATAATTTTATATGCTGCTCCTAAGGTTTAAGGTACAAAATTAATAGCTACCACAGTTTGGTAGTTTCTAATCTGTGTTTGATACTATTGTTACTGGTTATACTACTTTAGCTAGAATGTTATATCTGTTATAATCAGTTGTACTCCCTGATTATAACAATACTGGGAAACCCTCACCACAGCCTTATACCAAAGGACTGGGGACTGAGCCAAACAGATACCAACATCTCACTCTTAACTGGGAAAGTAGGATCTTGGATCATACAAGGCTAGAATCTCCTGCACATCCCCAAGGAACAGACTTTTCCTAAAGAGAACTTGATAATAATGATACAGCTACCTACTTCAAAAACTTACAAGGATCAACACAGAAAAAAAAAACTTTTGAAATAGAAAAAGACAAGACACAGGAGCAAAATACAACCTCAGATCTCCAGCCCACACAAAACAACTCCAGGAGACAATCAAATAGAGGAAAATAAAAAACGCATACCTAGCATTTCTGAAATGATGGCAACCAAAGTAAAGAAACAAATTCATAAGGCTATAGTGGAAATCCAATTGGAAATAATCTCTCAGGTAAAAAAAAAAAAAAGATATCTCAACATTTATAAAGGAATTGCTCAGCAAATATAGAGTAGAGATAGATTTTAAAAAATAGATGGAATCAGCACCATTCGTAAACTGTAGGGGGAGAGAACAAGGCCAAAAAAGGGGGCAAACCCCACCTGGAAATCAGTGCCTTGCACAGGCCACCATCCAAATGGGGACAGCCAGACCCCAGCCCCTTCCAGCACACAGTCTGGAAACAAGAAATACCAATTGG